AGGGTGTTTTTCATCTTTGAATTTTGTCCTTATATGCAGGGAGATATTTTTTACTTGACTGGGCTGACTCTAGGGATGATACATACTTTACAAGACAGTAATTATTAATACACTGGAGCTTCTTGAGAAGGCTGTCCTCAATATCCACACATGGCCATGCCATAGTCGGGACTATAAAATGTTGAAGTCATGTATTTTAATAGTCAAACTTTTCAGATTTTAAGAAATTAATACTGAAATTCATACTGTGACAGTTCATGCTATAAAGTCCATTGTATTATGGGGGGAAAATCCTTTCTGATGGTGTTTGAAACCAAAAGTTCCAAAGTTGTTTTTTTATAAGTTACCGGCCACATAGAAAGCACAGTGTTCTAAATAAAAAGCTGCAAAAACTATCGGACCACCCAAATACTCATGAGCTGCACTGAAGGTGTCATGTGGCTAAAAATCCACTTTTTCCAATTTTAAATACTTGGAATCCTCTTGCAATAGCAAGCATCTAATTTAGGAATTGAAACATAAGCTCATTTAAAAAAAAAAGGTCCTTATACACTTGCAGTAGGTTTGCCTTCTATTTAAATATCTGAAAGTCTAAACTGTTGAGGCTGAAGGTTCACTTTATAAATGCCCTATCTATATACTTTAATGCATCATAATCATAATTCTGGTGCATCATTTCCTATGTTTATGTTCTGTTGACAGAGTACACTATGCCTTAAGCATGTGTTTTCCCACGTTTTTTCAAAAATGGTTTTCATAGTGAAACCATGCCCACTGACCCCCAAATCCTTTCCTGTATGTTTGCAGATTACTACATTTCTTTGTCATTCTCTTAACCATATCAAAGAGAGTCCGTACTTACGGTCCAGTGCCACTTGGAATCATAGTATCTAGAAGAGCATATCTCTGTATACCAGGTATAAGATAAAAAAATCTACATGTGGGGAGTGTTCCTTCAATCTTTCCAGACATGGGAGAATAGTGTTTCCTTCTCTCTAACCTTTAGAAGGCTGCTATTGTAGATTTTGCTGAAATGCCCTTGGGCCAGAAAACTGTGTTGAGTTAATTAAATATGGCTTTAGAATTAGAGTTTATCTGGTCTGAGCCTTTCATTTTATAAGTGAGGAAACTGATTTAGCTTTGAACTTGAAGACTGTAGATAGTTTCAGTTATGAGCAGCTTAATAAAAAGGCTACTCAGATATTAGGAAATATTTCCTTTTACCCTACAGAGTCCGTGTTTATTTATTTGTTTTATGAGGGAATTAACGCCTTAATGAACCTCGAACTTAAGAAACCAATTTACTCGAACAGTTCGTTTCTGTTAATTTTGAACTAAAATCAGAGTAGGCTTAAAACAGTTTAGTAGTTCAGAAGTGTATTCCAGAAACATGCATATTAATTACTTGGTAAGGCTTTTGGTAGAAGAACTCTGGATTTGATCTGCTGTCTTGTAACTGAAATCATATAGTATTGAAATTACAGCCTTCCATGCCAAAGATTGAGCAGTCACTGTTCTCCTTACCAAAAATCTTGCATGTAAATTACGATGTGGGCAAGGACAGAACCAGCCAGATATGCCTGAACACACAAAGGGGTAAGTTAAAGTCAATCATAAACTAGGAATTTCACTTAGGCATCCATTAGACTGAGCACAGAGCTTTGGAGTGGAAATGGGAATTGGGGAGCTGTGCATAGAAAGAATGGCAGGGTGGGGGTGAAGGAAGGTTTTGTGTGAACAAAACCTTTTCTTTTTGATTTTGTTAAATTAAAAATAATGTACTTGGCTTCTTTCCAAACTTGGCTGAGGTACTTGGCTTCTAAGAGCAGTGCCTTAAACAACTCTTTCATTATAGTTCACTAAAAGTGGAGTCACTGTAGTCTGGCATTTACTTGGCTGTCAGTGTCTTAAAGAGAGGGTCTACCTTTTTTTTTTTTTAAAGATTTTATTTATTTATTTGAGAGAGAGAATGAGAGATAGCACGAGAGGGAAGAGGGTCAGAGGGAGAAGCAGACTCCCTGCTGAGCAGGGAGCCCGACGTGGGACTCGATCCCAGGACTCCAGGATCATGACCTGAGCCGAAGGCAGTCACTTAACCAACTGAGCCACCCAGGTGCCCCTCCACTTCTTTCTCTTCTCTTTCCTCCAGTGGTAGGGAAGTTGATCTTTTTGCCTCCAGGGATGGAATGATCTTAAAACAGGAATTGAGGTACTTAGTTTTGTTTTGTTTTGTTTTTTGTTTCTTAAGTGTTTTTAAAATTTTTTATTGCTTATTAGAAACTATTACAGTTGGAGCATATTATAATCTTCTCTCTGGTCTTTCTCTTTCTTTTCTCAGTTGCTTTCTGCATTGTTTGAGGTTCACTCCAGTTAGCACACATCCCAGGCTTTTAGTTGTAAAAGAGGCTAAAGGTCTGAAATCTAGAGAATCCAGTAATATGAACTTTGGCTTTTACTATGATTACAGATTAAACATAACACATACATTGCTCTATAATGCCTTCATGTAAGCCTTTCAAATTGTCCTAGTTTTTTTAATACTGACTGTACATTTTTTGTTCCAAAATCATTGGTATATATGTGGATAAAGCATAAAAGACCATGGACATTTTCTTGATGAAATTCAATTATTTCATGGCTACTGTAGTGGAATCTTTTTTTTTTTTTTTTAAGATTTTATTATTTATTTGACAGAGAGAGACACAGCAAGAGAGGGATCACAAGCAGGGGGAGTGGGAGAGGGAGAAGCAGGCTTCCCGCAGAGGAGGGAGCCCGATGCGGGGCTCGATCCCAGGACTCTGGGACCATGACCCGAGCCGAAGGCAGACGCCTAACGACTGAGCCACCAGGCGCCCTGTAGTGGAATCTTTTAAAAGGCAACATTATAAGTTAATCTGACACACACACTGCCATAACTACTACAACCACCACCTTCCAGATGTATAAAACATTTGCTGTATTTCTCTCTTTTTTTTTTTAAGATTTTATTTATTTGAGAGAGAGAGTGAATGAGAGATAGCACGAGAGGGAAGAGGGTCAGAGGGAGAAGCAGACTCCCTGCTGAAAAGGGAGCCCGATGTGGGACTCGATCCGGGGACTCCAGGATCATGACCTGAGCCGAAGGCAGTCGCTTAACCAACTGAGCCACCCAGGCGCCCTTTTTGCTGTACTTCTCAAAGATCAATTAGTAATATGTTTTAATTAACCTGACTCATGATAGTCTAGTAGAAATGTCCCAGATAGCAGTAATCATCAAGGTCTCAAAGAAGTATAGTAGTTTATTTATGTGCTTTATCTGAAACTTTTTATTAAAAGTTTTACTTGCCTATAGGCTAATTTCTTTCAGGTTTGGGGCATGTATTCATTTGCATGGCAGTGTTTGGGTATATGAAATTAAAACTCATAAATAAATAAATAAAACTCATTTCACGATCTGCTCTAAAGTTATCTAGACCAGTATGTAGGGTTTTTGGAAATTCTTGGTGATTACTGAAAATTGTGGTTAAACAGAGTTAATATTCTGTGTTCACACCCTAGCATACTTCTACATATTAGCAAAGAGGATATTTTGGGCAGCAGTAACCTATACTAATGGGTTTGTCCTCTGACATTAAGTTAGCAGGCCTTTTGTATATACAGCTAATTAATGGACTCAAGAACTTCATTTGATATTTACTTAAATTGGATTTAAAAGTTTTAATAACAGCTTTATAAAATATAATTCACATACCATCCAGTTTACCTCTTTAAGATGTACCAGTCAGGGGGTTTTTGTATATTCATAGAACTGTGCCACCATAATCACAATAATTTTGGAACATTTTCATCATTCCAGAAAGAAACCTCATACCATTAACAGTCATTCCCGTTCCCCTCCAACTCCCCTTCCCCTGCTGCCCCCCCCAAGCCCTAGGGAACCACGGATCTACTTTCTGCCTCTAGATTTGCCTACGCTGAACCTCTCCTACAAATGGATTTCTATAATATTTGTATAATGTGTTGTGTTTTTTTTTTTTTTAAAGATTTTATGTATTTATTCATGAGAGACAGAGAGGCAGAGGGAGAAGCAGCCTCCCAAGGAGCAGGGAGCCCGATGCGGGACTCGATCCCAGGACCCTGGGATCACGGCCTGAGCCGAAGGCAGACGCT